GTTAATACAACTTAATTACTTATGCTATACCTCCTCACTCGATCAGATAGAAATACATCCTGACTTAATTTTATATTCAATACCTCATAACTCAATCACACATTTCATTATTTCCAACTCAATCCAATTTTTGATAACTCCTAACTTGATCAGGAAATCATTCAATATGGATTTGGTAAATATAGTGAACCTGTATACAGCTTCTTTCTCCGAACTTACTTCTAACTCATCTCCCCTCATTATCTCTCCCCTTCACCAAATTATCAATTGGATCAATTTTTAGTCGACAAATTTGTTCAATTCCGTAGGAAACGATTGCAAGAGACTACTGGTATTCCATTTATTGTTTGACAGGTGTGTACAATGCATTTCTGATGTTATAGTGAGGTATTACATTAAAATTTGAGTCACTTAATTATATTAATAGTATCTCAAAGATGAGACACGATTTGGTCATAAGCGCCGATTACCCATATTCGTATCAAATTTCAGGTATGTCTTTATAATTTATATATTTACATTTGCATTGTATATGTACATATCAATAAAATAAATGTTTGATGAATTAGAAAACCGGCTTGAAGCTTATTTAAATTCATCCCGGATCATCAATAATTAATATCGTATACAAAGCTGTCAATGTGACCTGATCTATATACCGGTTTAAATAGATAGAAATGTAATCGATATTAAATGAAATACGTTCTACAAAACATAAGTGTCACAGCGTGTCTAAATTACACAATCTAACAATGAACACTCTATACAGCGTTTGGGCACATAACCATGTAATACAAACAAACAACATTATATTTATTATACTTGTCCTAGAGTTACAGAAGAAAATAAAGATACGTGTTCATGGCAAATAAATTTTCATACTAAAAATGATATGCAGGACATTTATCTTCATTAAAAAGGTCTCCCCTAAATGGCTAAAATGCTATAGAAGAAAATGCAGGACAGTGTTCTTCTTTAATAAAACGTCTTCCCCTAAATGATTGAAATGCATTCGTAAGAAGATGAATTTTAATATCCTATAATGTCATAGAAAGAAATATGCTTGGTTTTCACGAGGAAGTTTTTATTATTTCGAGCACAGATCTCATCTTAGAAGAGAGTATTAGGTTGAACGAAATGCTAACTTAAGAAGTGTGTTGTATTGAGCAAACTCCTCACTCTAGAAGATTATTCTCCTTTTTGTGGCTGAGGGGCTCATTATATTAAAAGGTTTATTTTGTAGAGCGCAGTTTTCACGTTAGAAAGGTTATTTTGAAAAGTGCTAAAACTAGAAGGGATTATATTCAGCGCAGTGCTCAATTTTAAAGGGATTTTTATGATGAGCGCAATGTTCCGTTAAAAGAAATAATATCGTGTGCCACTTTTTGCTCACTTTATAAGTGGTTAGGCTGTGCTTAGTGTGGATTTTGAAAATATTATGTTGAGTGCAGTATTTCTTTTATAAAAAATAACTATGCTGAGCGCTGTACGCTTGTTACAAGTGATTATGCTGAGCGCTGTACGCCTGTTACAAGTGATTATGCTGAACGCTGTACGCCTGTTACAAGTGATTATGCTGAGCGATGTACGCCTGTTACAAGTGATTATGCTGAGCGCTGTACGCCTGTTACAAGTGATTATGCTGAGCGCTGTACGCTTGTTACAAGTGATTATGCTGAGCGTTGTACGCCTGTTACAAGTGATTATGCTTAGTGCAGGTTAACATTTCACGACGGTAAAAGCGGCTAAACAATAGTTGTAGTTTTATGTACAGAAATGAAAATTCCATGTAAAATATCTACATTATGTGTTGATCTGCAGAAATACGTTTATTTTTTTTGCAAAATGTTTCAAAGGAAACAAATATCCGTAACACATTGAATTCGCCCGATTGGCGTTTTCGACAGGTCTATTTTTACCTATTTAATGTCTACATATATTTATTCAACTTCGCGTAATACTACTTATGTAAAGGTAACCATCAATTAAGACACGCTCGGCTAATCAGCTAGAAATACATATCAAAGCATTTCCGACGCGGGTTACACCGTGTCTGCTGACAGGATACGTCACCAAGTCATCGCCAAAGTCACGTAAGTACACCTTTGTTATTATAATATATTTTAGTTCCTAGTTTATACTGAATCAACCCCGACATCAAACTACATAACACTACGTCCGTCCATTGGCTCTATAACGACGACGTTGTCCACGCCACACTACATAACCCTTTGTAACAACGACAAACTTTATTGTATGTATGGCATCCTGTATTACCACAGCTTATGTAGTAACAGGTGTATGTATGGCATCCTGTATTACCACATCTTATGCAGTAACAGGTGTATATATTTTTTCAAGTTCAAGTTCTTTATTCACCAAAAGTCTTAAGACTTATAGGTACAAACTAATCATGACACATTGTACATGTATATATGTTATAGGAGAGTGACTATAAGCATACAAGTGCAAACTAAACAAAGAACATAATACAAAAGCACAAAAATTATAAATACGTGTAGCTAATTAATCAATTTCGCCGCTTAGTGGCTAGATATAAATATTTACCTAGATTTGACAACTCTTTGACATTATTTACAGATAAAAGTTGGACAAGTTTGTAAACAGAGGGACTCTTATAATAATACTTCTTTA